TGTAAGTTCAGACAGCGGCAGGAGGAAACCCTGACATCAGCCCCACCCCTGGCCGGCCTCTCTGCTCTGATGTAGAGGCAGAGAGAGAGAGATTCTACAGTAATGGTTTGCTTTGTGTCCTGGAACAGATAAGCATGCCGGATGTCAGAAATGGAGCTTTGAAAGGGGATAGCTGCATGCCTGCAGCCGAGTTCAAAACAATGACAAGAGTGGCCACTTGACTTCAAGGGATTATGGGACGTTGCTGGAGGCCAATCATAGCACAGTAATGCAACACGCCATCCACCCTGACACCCCAGTGCTTCAGCCTAGGAGCAGAAAGATCTGTATTTCTCATGGAGGTGGATTTCCAGGGGTGCTCCAGCTACCGAGTCCAGGTGCTCCAAGTGCCTTGCCAGTGTGGACGCCTTAGGAGTTAGGCCGCCTGGGGATGATTTAATGTGCCCTAACTTGCAAGTGTAGACAAGGCTCCAGTCTCTTGCTTCTCTTATGTTTCTCTGGAGCATATACATACTCTCTTTTACCCAAACAATACTCAGCAAAGCTCGTCCACCTAATAGTCTGAATTCTGGGCATGCTCGTTATGCCTTGTTGTAGGTGGGTCTCCTTAATTGTCTCTCATAGCTATTTTAAATGAAAGGTGTGTTCATACCTATCAGTGTCAATGAGATTTAATCTAACCCACAACAACATCTTCATAATGTTTGGTATTATTCCTTCTTATGGATAGGGTGACCATATTTCCCTATGCTGAATATAGGACACCTGGTAAAATTACTCGTATTCAAGAGAGTTCAACCGCAATCAATCAGAACTATGCAGTACAAATGTTCAAATTGACATCCCTGTTGAAAAGAAATATGGCATCGTTGAATTCTTTTTATTTACCTTCTTATCTTTAAGGCTTTAGGGCTCACAGAGGGAGAGCGCACGCGCACACACGCACTCACAGAGAGAGAGAGAGAGCGCTGTGTGAGAGAGGTGTACAGGACTGACCTACTGTCCCCTCCCTGCCCAGCGCTCTCTGCCCTCCATGCCTGTCTGGGCCCTGCTGGGAAGGGACAGGAGCTGCTTCTAGCCGCAGGAGAGGGGAAGGGATGACCAGGCCCATGTCTTTGCAGAGCTTTTCTCTTTTTCCCCCACCCCCCTGTAGCTGGAAGCAGCTCCCATCCGTCCTGCCTGCACAGTGTCAAAAGGCAGCTAACACCTCCTCTCGGCTGCCCCTCCTCACCCTCCCCTAGCTACAGTGCAGGCAGGAAGGGATTAAGCCCTAAGGCTGCACAGTGCACCAGGGAACCTGACTGCAGGGACTTCAGCAAACCCGGCCAGAGAGGTGGCTCAGCAGCAGAGGGTGCCTAGGGGACTGAGAAGCCCCATGGTACCTGGGGGTAGGACCCAGGGCGGGAGGGGGCAGGTGAAGAGGGTGCTAAGCCCCTGTCTTGGGGGCTGCTGTGGAGCCTGCAGGGTCAGGGCGTGAACAGACTGGAAATCACTTCTCTTCCCCCTTTCCCCACCCCCCGCCACGCCAGAGCTTAGCTGAGGGGCAGAGAGGCTACCTTGTGCCAGCGCTGTGCGGGGCTTTGACTCCTCCTAGTCAGCTCCCTGGGCCAGAGGGTCTTGGGCTTGCCTGGGCCAGTGGCCCAGGCAGAGGCAGTAATGGAAGGAAGGAGCTTGCCAGTAAACTGAGCACTCTGACCAGGGGCTGGTTCTCCACGCAGCACTGGGAGCAGGATGTGACCTGGCCGGAGGGATATGGAGGAGCAGTGGGGGGAGGGAGGGGACAGAGAGAGTGAGTGAGAAGGGGCAAAGCAGGGAGTGGACAGTGAGGGGGGAGCACATAAATGGTGGACAGTAGAGGTGACACATAACCAGCCACTGCCTAGTGCCTGCCCGCACTCACTGGCTGCCACAGCATACAGCCAATGCTGGCTGGAAACAGGACAGGGAGCAAGGCCCTGCTGGCTGAGAGCTGGCAGGGAGCAGGGGCTGCACTGTCGGACAAGCAGGGGGAGCAGCTGGCCCTGCACGCTACACCTTTGCTCTGCCACCAGCCTTGCACTCCTGTCCTCGACCATTGGGCCCTCCATTCACCACTGGTGGGCGAGGAGCTGGTGAGCAGGGATCTAGCCAGAAGCAGGACCTGCCAGTATTGATGAGGGGGAGGGAAACAAAATATGGGACAATTTGCCCATTTTTAAGAAAAAGTCAGGACTCCTGTAGAAGGGCTTAAATATGGGACTGTTCCTCTAAAACACAGGATGTCTGGTCACCCTACCTATGGACTTTGGTCAGTGGCAAAACTGTAACTACATTGATATTTAAATTGTTCTCATTGGTCTTCAGAGCTAACATGCAATTGAGATGAAAAGGAACAGTATGTACTGAGTTTGTGGACTCAGGCAGACTTCACTTCATTGGTTTACACTATGTTCACATTCTGAAGGTTTTCTTCACAACCGTAAGGGTTAGAGACTTAAGTGTGTGTTAAAAATTAAAATCTTAGATTTGGAGGGGAAAATAGCAGCCACCACAGAAAAGTACCTGGTAACACTTACCTTTGCAGAGGCATAAATGAATGTAGGAACAGAGAAAAATAGTTTTTGTTTCTGGTCTAAATGCTGCCACAGAATATCTCCTACCTTGGTCACTATTCTGACCATGTTTAGTTCCTCTTCAAGTTCCCATCACACCAGAGCCAGAATAAGGCACTACTGGCCTTTGCCCAGGGTCCCAATTTCTAGAGTTGTGATAAGATCATCTTTAATTTTTCATAGATTAGAAAAGGAAATAAAGCTTTCCTCTTTTTTCTACTCCCACTGGTTTTTGAATGAACTAGTCATTGAACTGAACAGCGCTGAATAAATTGAAATGACAATATTTTGTCTGCCTTTGAGGAAGAGGCTACTTCGGTTAAAAGCTGGTTTAGCACTGCTGCAAACTCTTGTTGCATGTGCGTAGCCACTGACTTCTACCAGTTCAGTAGTTTGGCTTTCTCTAATACCTCAGTAGCAAACGTGTACTACTTTAATTTAAATTATTTTAATAGATTATAATAAGTTTAGGCCTTAACTTAGGTTGTTATAATTTCTAATTTAATTTTAAATGGGTTCATATTAAAAGAAAAGTATTGAATTTAAATATCCATTTTAAATTTTAAAAAAATTATTAAAAAAATCATTGATTTTTATGCACCCTGTTTCTAGATCTTACAGTTGAAGAGAAGCTTATAAATGTGACTAGAGTGCAACTGATGACTGCCTGCATATTCAGACAGCCTGAAACAATAACCTCAAGAGGTGTGAACTGAGAAATGATAATAAATAGACACAAGAAAAACACACAACCAAAAAGCCCACCCTAAACCAAAACTATAAAACAAATAAGACACATGCTACTCCACCACTCATTCATATTGCTTTGGGTTGCATCCCATCCATTGTCTATATATGCTCTATTTAGAATAGGAGGTTCTTGGTGAAAGAATCTTCCTTTTTATACTTGTTTCCAAGTGTCTAGCAAGTTGAAATAAAACTAAATAGAGCACTAATTAGAAGATATCTGGAAAACAAAACTAATATGTCATGGCAATTTTTATTTTCCTTCAAGGAAAAGTGTTGGAACATAATTATGAAAGCAAATGATCTTTAAAGTAAGATCAGTACTAAAAGCAGAGGGTTGCGGGTTTTTTTGAATGTTTATTTTTTAAAAAAAAGATAATCTACTTTGTTTAGACTTCCAGCAAATTCTCTCTTTATTCTCCTTTGTAAGATCACTTTTTAGAGTGAAGTATTTATGCTAAGATGCTTAAACAATTTTGTATATTCTCTTTGAGTGGTTTAATTTAAAGACACTATCATTTACAGCAATCCAATATTACAGAGCTCTCTCTCCTAGAACTGCTATCTCCAGCTGAAACTGGTATTCATATTTGGTGTAAGTGGACCTTTAAAGGCCTCTGGTTGAGATTTAAGAACAAGAACCTTCAGAAACAAAATCTTTTATGTACTTTACTACCTCTCATATCCATGCTTTTGCTTTCCCATCTCTCCTTTCCTTGCATGCCTGCCAAGTCTCACTGTTTTGCTATACAAAGCACAGATTTCATGTGGCTGAAGAAGAATGAACAGGCATTTTAACATTTACGTAATCTGAATCCTCACTCTTTATGTTGCCAAGACTGGTCTTTGCTGTTCTGTTCTCTCCTACACTTTCTGTTGTTCCTGAGAGCAAAATCAGATCATGAGCAATTCAGATTGTCAGGAAGAAAAACCTAAATGGCCAAATGGCCAGATCAGCATCTCCCTGCTTGTTTTTTTTTAAGCCAGACAGCAGCAACCCACCCTCAAACATTAAAAATCCAAACAACCTTCCTTTGTCCAAAGGGATAACATGTAGTTGATGAGGTGGAAGTAGACGGGAAATGAAAATATGACAATGTAGAAGACCGTTGGAGATCAGAATAGTACATGGAACTTTCCATCACCTTCCTTTGAATGCAGCTGTTTAGCCACATAATGGAAAGTGTTCAAACACATGGGAATTACTTCCTTCTACACACACCCCGACCCGCATATACTGATGATTTCATATTTATTTTTAATCTGGATTAGGTTATATCTTTCATTAGTTTCTGCTCTGTTGGAACTGATTTTCCAGAAATAGCACTTCTAAGTGACTGACAATAAATGCTTCTTCCAGGTGGACTGGCATAGGTAGAAATAGTAGAAATTTGGCAGTTTCAAATTTTTTCTATTTGGTAAACTTTTACCAACCCTCCCTTTTGGTCTTACTTTTCCAGTTTCTATTATCAGAGTCCTTCTTTTTCCCCTATAGTTGGTATCCAACATCGGTTCTGTCTGATGCTGGAACTTAGTGTTCTAAAAAATTACAACACATTAATAAAAAAGATGACTGGATTTTATATAGAGTTTTTGTAAAGACTGAATGGCAGATCATGTTAGGACAATGGAAGCAGTTCAGTCTATTCCTGAATTAATTACCTTTGTTTTTCTTTTATATCTTCAGGTTCGCTTCTCATATATGCGAATGAAGTATCTCTTCATCTCTTGGTTAGCAGTATTTATTGGCAGTTGGATTATATATGTTCAGTACTCCACTTACACAGAGCTATGCAGAGGTCATGACTGTAAGAAAATAATAGTAAGTATATTTGTATGTCTTGTTTGTTAAGCTTTTTTATCATCCATGAATCTACTTTTGAATTATTCAGTAGTTACCATCAAAAGTAATATTTACTATTACATTATGCAAATACAATAATCCTAATTTCAGTTACCTACAGCTAAAACCAATTATTTTTGTACTTTATTTTCTCATTGATTAAATGGCTCAGTTGTAAACCGCCATGTGATCAAATTCACTTTGTGACAGTTTTGTTGTGGGAGGCTCAATCATAATTGACATACTAATTTTAACTTAGTGATTCCCCCTGCCTTTGTTTAACTCCTTCTGATGAGTTAAAAATGATGCATGCTACTAGAGTACCCACAAGACACTCAGGTGGAATCTCACTCTTTTATAAGAGAGGAGCAGCTGGCAGTGTGTTCTCCACATGAGGCCCTGTAGATTTGAAACTTTCTCCTGCACAGTCCAAAATAATTTTAATTTATTGGCTTTTTAGGGCATGTTGTTTTCCCTGGCTGCGAGGGATCGGAAGGACTTTGGTGAAAGATTGTAAAGATCTTAAATATGTTTTTGGTTGCTGGGCTATTATACCTTTAATTATTGGTCAAAGGAAAGTTGCTAGAATAATCTAATCTTATACTTGTATTTTTAAAATGTGTCAGTACCTACAGCGAAGCATAGACATCCTTTTTTTACTGAAAGAATGTATAGATTAAAAGAAATAATACTACGAACTCAATGGCAGGCTGTTCCTTTTTCTATTCTTTCAGAATGGTGAAATCTGAGGATTCCATGTGGCAGTAGAGATACTCATTAGCAGACCCCTATGTAAAAGTAGAGATGCATGTTAGCAGATGCCTTAACAAGTTAGCAGTCATTGTACTTCTTACATTCTCCGCCTCCTCCCCCCCAACCGCCCCGAATAGGCATCTTTTGGCACCATATAGCATGTAGTTTTGTTTGTTTGTTTCATGTTTTCGATAGGTCTCTTCTGATTGAGAGTAAAAGCTCTCCATCTGTCTCCCAGTTCAAATCATTTACCCAATAAGGCCCTGATCTTGCAAACTGCTCCATGCAGGTAGACCCCTGGACCTGCGCAGAGCCCCATTAGCTTCAACATTCTGTTGTATTCTATTCTATATAGGGTCTCTGTGCAGATGCAGGGGGTTCACCTCTGCAGAGCAACTTGCAGAATTGGGGTGTATCTGAATATTTTTTTTGTACCCCAGACACATTTCAGAGTTTGTACAGCTTTTTTCTCATTTTACCGGACAAAAGCATAGATTTTGGAAAAGCCAACAGATGTATTGTTTCCTCTTTCTGTTCTTGAGTTCTTTCTAGAAACTATTTTCCCCTTTCTTATCTTTCAGTGTGATAAATATAAGACTGGAGTTATTGATGGATCAGTCTGTAGTAGTCTTTGCGCTAAAGAAACTCTGTATTTTGGAAAATGTTTGTCAACGAAACCCAATAACCAGGTATGACTTTATTTATATGAGCTAATCATATGATTCTTTATCTAAATCAGGTTTGGGGGTTGTTTTTTGTAGAATATTAAACAGGTCTTATGTAAAATGAGTTACAGTTAAATTTTACTTATTTAAGTTTTGCTCACTGAGATATTCAAGGGATGAGAATTTTAAACAAGGGATCTTGTTGGCACAGCACTTATAATCCCATTCTAAAAGTGAGAAATCTGAGCTGTCAACCAGTATAGAACACTATCTTAGAAACAGCAGACAACAATTCAGAATAATGTTTGATTCTATTTTACAAGGATGATACTTGTCTGAATTTTGTATTTAATTCACATTTCTGTTTCCATGAAATAGGATGTTCGCCACTCAATCATTTTTAACTCTAGGCATTTTAAATCCAATATGCTCGGTTCAGCAAATCTGTAATAAATTGGGTAGTGGGGGAAATGAGGACAGTGATTTAGATAAATACTACAGTCCAATAAATGTATAGATTTGGTATTTCTTAGTGTATTTGATGATTCGGCATATCCTATTATGCAGATGTATATGCATGCTTTAAGTAATACTGTGTAACTCTCTACTTCTCTAATTTTACAAATGCCACTTTTAAAATGCTGAAACTTTAAATGTACAGTAAACCTATACTTGATATGGACCCTGCTCTAGAGCAGCTATGAAATCCCATTTCATAGTCCCAACTATACATATCAAATGATAGGGTCTAAATTAGCTGTTACCACTCAAAAAAGAGATCTTGGAGACCTTGTGGATAGTTCTCTGAAAATATCCACTCAATATGTAGCGGCAGTAAAAAAAAGTGAACAGAATGCTGGAAATAATTAAGAAAGGGATAGATAATAGGACAGAAAATATCATGTTGCCTCTATATAAATCTGTGGTATGCCCACATCTTGAATATTGTGTGCAGATGTGGTCGCCCCATCTCAAAAAAGATATATTGGAATTGGAAAAGGTTCAAAAAAGGGCAACAAAAATGATTAGGGGTATGGAATGGCCTCTGTATGAGGAGAGATTAATAAGACTGGGACTTTTCAGCTTGGAAAAGAGATGGCTAAGGGGAGATATGATTGAGGTCTATAAAATCATGACTGGTGTAGAGAAAGTAGATAGGGAAGTGTTTTGTTTACTACTTCTCATAACACAGGAACTAGGGGTCACCAAATGAAATAAATAGGCAGCAGGTTTAAAACAAATAAAAGGAAGTACTTCTTCACAGAATGCACAGTCAACCTGTGGAACTCCTTGCCAGAGGATGTTGTGAAGGCCAAGACCATAACAAGGTTCAAAAAAGAACTAGATAAATTCATGGAGGATAGGTCCATCAATGGCTATTGGGCAGGAATGGTGTCCCTAACCTCTGTTTGCCAGAAGCTGGGGATGAGTGACAGGGGATGGATCACTTGATTACCTGTTTTGTTCATTCCCTCTGGGGCACCTGGCACTGGCCACTGTCGGAAGACAGGATACTGGGCTAGATGGACCTTTGGTCCGACCCAGTGGGGCCATTCTTATGTTCATTACACGGTCACTTCCAAAAGTGCAAACACTCCAGATCCATTAAAGGTTTTGACAGCGTGCCTGTGTTCCGGTACAGTGTGCTTCCTCTCTCCCATCTTGCCCCACCAAACCAAAATAAATGCCTCTTATCAGCTTTAATGGAGAAGGTGCTGATGCCATTGTATAAAGCACACTTTTCATGGAGCATGGGCCTGTTGCTCTTTAAAATCGTATTTGGATGCAGTGGTCTCTCTTAAATATGTTTTAAAGTGGCACAGTGTACAGGGAGTTGCCACTACCAGTCTGAATGCTGGTTCCTTGCAGTTTCAATGAGCAAACCCAGCATTCTGACTCAGGACAGTAGAAGACAGGAGAGCTTTTGAGGAAAATTTTATGCAACTATCTCATTGTCTTTTTTCTTCATAGATGTATTTAGGAATCTGGGGTAATCTACAAGGTGTTATAAAATGCCAGATGGAAGAAATTATTCATCTTGATCTTGGAACTGAACCAGAACCAAGAAAAGAAATAGTTCTATTTGATAAACCAACTAGAGGAACTACTGTTCAGAAATTCAAAGAAATGGTATATGGTCTTTTAAAAGTAAGTATATGTCAAAGAAGAGAAAATGAGCATAGATGCTGATTCTCACCACATTTATTTATTTATTTTATTTTTTGCCTGATTCTCTTTTGTCTGTTTGTTTGTTTTCAGCAGGAAGAGTACACAAATTAAATGTAAAGTCAAAACCTACTAAGCTACAATTCCAGTTAGGTTAGGGATGACCTTTTATTTTAGCCTTGAGGACAATTTTCATATTTGTTCACTTTAAGAACCTACTGTGATTGTGGAAAAACTCAGTTATGTTACAGGCTACAGTGATTGCTGGTGAGTAGATCATATGAGCATGAAAAATTTCTGACCCAGAGTTACATGTTAGAGACAATCATGAGTAATTTAAAAGAAAAACAAAAATAGAGGGGTTGGGGTGGCATGATAGTTATTGGAATGGAAGCCAGCATGCAACTTTTACCTGTTTAAGGCTTCAACCTGTTTTTGGCCCTTAAAATCTTAAGCCACTGTTTGGAACTGTGTTGTAGCCTGGTCCCATGACATGGTTGTATTTATAATGCTAGTGGTGTCCCGAAGGCCCTATTCATACTGGGATTGAATCCTCTAGAACTCTGCTAGCATCAGTTTTGCTAACAATTGTGACCAGAGAAATAGGTATCTCTTCCTCTGCATTTTTTTTCTGCACCATACTAAAAACTATTCCTATCGTATTAAGTAGTCTGCAGCTGAGTTTTCCCAATATAGAAGTATTGATATAAGGATATGTTTACACGGAGGGTTTTCTGAACTTCTCCCTCCATTACTCTAATACAGACTAACATGGCTACTTCTCTGAAACCTGTCATTATGTCTATCAGTAACTATCATGTAACTCCAGTAGTAATAGCAACTGTGGCAGTATGAGTTTAAAAACCAAACAGAAAATCTGATAACTGATCTACAGGTGTCACTTACCCCTGCTCAGAGCAGGTCTATGCAACATGATGGTAAGAATGTTGGTGACGGGTTTACACTAGTGGTTTCCCCTATAATTAACATTGGTGGAGCTGTAAAGATGCTAGAGTAATTGCAGGACAATATCAGAAAACGTTCTGTGTAGATAAGGCTTTGAAAAAATGTCCTGTCTATACTGGTCATAGATGTGTGTAGCACAGTTCTGATTCCAGAAGAGACAGGACTTCCCTATTCAAAAGCGCAGCAGTCGTGCTGGTTTGTTAAACCAGTGAAATGAAAGTTATTATAGTAAGTGACAGAGGACAGAACTAAGTATGAAAATACATTTATTAGTATAGGAGTAGTACTAAGATATTAAAAACATATTTATGACTAGCTAGAAATTACTGTATTCCTTGTTGTAATCTCTTGTCACTATTGCAAGATGCAAGCTTTAATCAGCTGAGTCATAGTAAAACAAGCTCTGTTTATTATGAAATGTTGTTTGAACACAAAACTTTTATAGCAAAAGAACCACAAAATGTTTGTATTACAAGTAGGGTTGTCAAATGATTAAAAAATAATCATGATTAATCGCACTGTTAAACAGTAATAGAATACCATTTATTTAAATATCTTTGGACGTTCTCTACATTTTCAAATATAGTGATTTCAATTACAACACAGAATACAAAGTGTACAGTGCTTACTTTATATTTATTTTTGATTTCAAATATTTTCACTGTAAAAACCAAAAGAAATGGTATATTAAAATTCACCTGATATAAGTATTGTAGAGCAATCTCTATATAATGAAAGTAGAACTTACAAATGGAGAATTATGTATAAAAAAATTACTGTATTCAAAAATAAAACAATGTAAAAAAACTTTAGAATCTACAAGTCCACTCAGTCCTACTTCAGCCAATTGCTCAGACAACAAAGTTTGGTTACAACTTGCAGGAGATAATGCTGCCCACATCTTATTTACAATGTCACCTGAAAGTGAGAACAGGCGTTTGCATGGCAGTGTTGTAGCCGGCATCGCAAGATATTTACGTGCCAGATGCGCTAAAGATTCATATGTCCCTGCATGCTTCAACCACCATTCCAGAAGACATGCGTCCATGCTGAAGATGGGTTCTGCTCAATAACGTTCCAAAGCGGAGCGACCAATGCATGTTCATTTTCATCATCTGAGTCAGATGCCACCAGCAGAAGGTTGATTTTCTTTTTTTTGGTGGTTCAGGTTCGGTAGTTTCTGCATTGGAGTGTTTCTCTTTTTTAGACCTCTGAAAGCATGCTGCACACTTCAAAATCTGAAGAGGGGTGGAAGGCACTTCAGATTTTTAAACCTTGGGTCTAGTGCTGTATATTTCCTTAGAAATCTCACATTGGTATCTTCTTTGTGTTTTGTCAAATCTACTGTGAAAGTGTTCTTAAAATGAACATGTGCTGGGTCATCATTTGAGACTGCTATAACATGAAATATATGGCAGAATATGGGTAAAACAGAACAGGAGACATACAGTTCTCCCCCAAGCAATTCAGTCACAAATTTAATTAGTGCATTTTTTTTTTTTTTTAAAATGAGCATCATCGGCATGGAAGCATGTCCTCTGGAATGGTGGCCGAAGCGTGATGGGACATATGAATGTTTAGCATATCTGGCACTGTAAAGGTTCGGACTCAGCCTGTGGTGCCTCCTGCTGGTAGTCGTCGGGAATTAGCTCACCAGCTGTCGGAGCGCCCTCTGCAGGCCGGTGATCCGCCTTCCCGCCGGCCCCCATGTCCCTCCCAGGACCCAGTGCCCTTTTCTCTGGGGTACTGCCCCCCTGGCAGTACCCCCACACTCTCAGGTTCTGGGTCTCCCCACCCAGGGGAACCCCCAACCTCTAACCTCACCTCGCCTCAGTCTGGGCTACTGCTAGTCCCCACTTAGCCCCCGTTCTCTGGGGCCGACTGCAGTGTAAGCACTACTCATCATAGGCAAGGGGGGTTGAGATCTGCTGCCTCTGCCTACCCATGGGCTGCCCCTGTGCAACCCTACACCTATTCGGCCTGTAGTCAGGCCTGCAGCCTGAGGCTTTCCAGGCCAGAGCTCCCAGCTCTTCTGGCCCTTCCCCAGCCCTGCTCCAATCTGGGTGTCTGCTCGGCACCTTGCAGCCAGGCCCTTCTCCCTCTACAGGTAGAGGGAGACTGACTAGGCTCCTGGCTCACAGCCTCTTCTAGGGGCCAGCTGGACCTGATTGAGCTGGCCACAGCTGCAGCTGCTCCCTTAATCAGCCTGGGCTTTTCCCCACAGCCCCAGCCCTCTCCCAGGGCTGGCCTCAGCCTTGTCAGGGCCGGAGCGGGTAACCACCCCACTACAGGCACGTAAATATCTTGCAAATGCCGGCTACAAATGTGCCATGCAAACACCTGTTTTCACTTTCAGGTGATGTAAATAAGAAGCCATCAGCAGTATCTCCCATAAATGTAAACAAACTTATTTGTCTTAGCAATTGGCTGAACAAGAAGTAGGACTGAGTAGACTTGTAAAACTTTAGAGCTTACATTGTTTTGTTTTTGAGTCCAGTTATGTAACCAAAAAAAATCCACATTTGTAAGTTACACTTTCACGATACAGAGATTGCACTACAGTACTTGTATGAGGTGAATTGAAAGATAGTATTTCTTTTATCATTTTTACAATGTAAATATTTGTAATAAAAAATAATATAAAGTAAGCACCTTACATTTTGTTTTCTGTGTTGTAATAGAAATCAATATGTTTAAAAATGTAGAAAAACATCCAAAATATTTAATAAATTTCAATTGGTATTCTATTGTTTAACAGTGGAATTAATCGCAATTAATTTTTTTTAGTTAATTGAGTGAATTAACTGTGATTAATCGACAGCTCTAATTACAAAGATACCTAACATAATTCATTAAAGACTCTTACTGAGGACAAGGTGCGAAGTTTTAGGAGTTAGAAAAGGAAGAAAACACATACTTTCAGTGCACCATATACATGAAAGGACCACTCAGCATAGTCCCAAAAAGCACTGTGTATGTATCGTGTAGTGAAACCAGAAAAACCAGAGCATGACCATAGACACTGCTGTAGGCTCCACATGCAGCTGAGTAGAACGGGTAAAATATTTCACTGAATATAAAAACACAGGACACATAACCAGTTTAATAGTTTTTAGAAAAAAAAAGTATAAGGAATTAAATATATATATTTGTTTTTTCTAGAGAAAGGTGGGTGAACAGGGAAATCTTTCTGAACTGGTTAATCTCATCCTGTCAGTTGCTGATGGAAACAAAGATGGTCGAGTTTCCTTACCAGAAGCAAAGTCGGCATGGGCTCTTCTGCAGCTAAATGAGTTTCTACTTATGGTGATCCTCCAGGATAAAGAACACACCCCAAAATTGATGGGGTTTTGTGGCGATCTCTATGTGATGGAAAGAGTTGAATATACCTCTCTCTATGGAATAAGCCTTCCATGGATCTTAGAACTTTTCATTCCCTCTAGTTTCAGAAGAAGCATGGACCAGTGGTTTACTCCATCATGGCCTAGAAAGGCAAAAATTGCTATAGGGCTTTTAGAATTTGTGGAAGACATTTTTCATGGACCTTATGGGAATTTTCTTATGTGTGATACCAGTGCCAAAAACTTGGGTTATAATGATAAATATGACTTGAAAATGGTGGACATGAGAAAAATTGTGCCAGAAATTAATTTGAAGGAATTAATTAAAGATCGTCACTGTGAGTCTGACTTGGACTGTGTTTATGGTACAGACTGTAGAACTCTATGCGACCAAAGTAAAATGAAATGTACCACAGAAATAATTCAGCCCAACTTGGCAAAAGTATGCCAGTTACTAAAAGACTATCTGCTTTGCGGTGCTCCATCAGAAATACGTGAAGAGTTAGAGAAACAACTGTATTCTTGTATTGCCCTTAAAGTCACAGCAAACCAGATGGAAATGGAACATTCTTTAATACTAAACAACTTAAAAACTTTATTGTGGAAGAAAATATCCCATACAAATGATTCTTAGTATCTTTAACCACAGAAGAAAACATTGTTGCCACTATAGGAGATTTACCACTTTTTATCAAAAGCATCTTTGGCATTTTTAAAATATTTCTTCTTAGCTCAGAATTCATTAACTTTCCTAACTCTTACTCCAGCAAACACTAGTATTACAGTGCTTCTCAGAGAGAGAATGTGCCACTTAATGAATTGTCTAGCAGAAGTTACAAGAGCCTTGTGGTTAGAATGCTCTATCATGGAAATAAAAAACCATGTGCTTGCCCTCTCCTTGCACTTTGGCAGAAGACCCTAAATTGGGGTCTCCTGCTGTCAATATTCACTGTGCTACCATATTGACTAATTTTAACTTTTTTTTTAATGCTGTGACTAGCATCATTCATTTGTAAATATCCACTGAGAATTATTTTTTTCCAAGTAGTGTTACAAATGCTAGCCAAAAGACCCACCACTATTAGAAATAATGTGCTTGAGTCCAAGAGACTCTTTTGAATGAAGTGAACATTTTGAGGATGAAGTTTACTAATAACTTAGCATGGCAGAATTTGCACAATGGAAAATTTTTAAATTGCTAAACTCAGTGTGACAATTAAAATTTATTCCAGAAAACGGCGTATTTTAGTATGAGAGATTTTTAGTTAGATTTTGTTTGTATACACTTTTTTACCTCATACTTACATATATTTTGAATGTTACTACATTAGCTGAAAGTTCTTAATTAAACGTCCTAGTACAACATGCCATGTTGGAAGCTAAGATTTTAAAATATGTATTATATATTTAAAAAGTCGCATATACTAGAGCAACAATATACCATTACACAATGGGGAAATAGAGAAGCTACGAAGCCTGAGTCTTAAAATGTCAGTAAGATATAAGGAAAGTTAAGCAGTAGCCAGTTTTGAAGCCAGGGATTTTGTGGACTAGGTGATTCTAAAAAGGTCAGGAGTTAAAGAACTTTAATAGTTTTGGTAGCTGCAGTGTGGTAGCCTTTATAATGGAGATCCTCATAGTAAAGGTTTAGAGTCCTTAGTTTGACTTAAGTATCTAAAACTACATTTCTAACACTGATCTAGTCTAAAAGTTTGATTTTGTAGCTAAGGCTGTGTGGCAAGATCAGCCTTGCATTTACTCTTTCCTGGTTTACTTTAAGAAATGTCTAAATTAGAGCTAGGCCTAAGCCACAGGATCGAATCTAGAGCCTGATCTGGATTTCCCTAAACTTTGGAGGTGTTCATATATGGAGTTTTTTGTTTCTATTTGGGCCCATCTTTACCCTAAGCATTAAATCAATAATTAGTTTATTATTGGAAATATTCTCCTTAGCATGTTCTTGTTTAAATTTTTACAGGGTGCTAGGTTTATTCTCTGCACCTCTGAAGCAATGAGTGAATACTAGACTTGGATCATGAGGGAAATAACTTGAAATCTCATCTTAACTCCCATTTGTCCACATTCCACACAGTTTGACTTTGCTCAGGAGTGGCTCGAGTCACAAATGAGACTTTGCAAATCTGTGTGTGTGTGTAAAGCACTTGTGAACACTGCTTGGTATTCATCCATTACTAACCCTTTGTACGCACTTAATTCACTTCTACCTTTTGTTCAAGGGAGATGAGGAAAAAACCTTTTATTTAAAAAGTGTTATTTAAAGTGTGAATTCTTTTTACTGCTTTGCAGGTCTTTTGTGTTAAACACGCTTCTTAAATTATTATTAGTATCTGGATTCAACAAAATTCTTGTTCACGAAGGCATATAACAAACATACTTAGAGAAGGTAAAATCATCCATTGTCCTTCCGTGTATGCTGTCCGAAGTATTAATTCTCTTGTTGTAGGTGTAATTTTGCTTTTTTGTAAATATTCAGTTGTTTGACTCTTGCACAGTATCTACCATTCTGCTGTCTCCTTAAAATTGACTGATCTGCCTTCCAAGAGGAGGCGTTAATATATCTGCAACTAATAAAGAAACCAAACATTAAGTATATCATTTTCTTACCAGATAATCTGAATGTGAATCCTATTACGGCTATTATGCATTGAAACTATTGAACGAAATAGTGTGGATATTTTAAATGTTTTTTGGATAACTGGAAACTTGTCGACAATGCAATTTATTGTACATTTTGATTGTTACTGCACCAGGAGCTTTCATTTAGAGTTTTGTTTACAATAAATCAAAGGAATCCTTTCCCTCTTTTACAGCAGTATTTATTCATAAATTAACACTGGGTGTTTGAAAACTCTTAAAAGGAAAGCTTATCTTAAAATAACTTCAGATGTCCGGCTTCAATTTGATTCTTAATTTAAATTATAGAAAAGGAGCAAGTCATGTAACTGAACCCCAGTGAAACGTTTAGATTGAATACATAAATCATCTTGTTTGTCCATTGTCATTGGCAGAGAGTCAAATTAATGGGTGTTTTATTCTTAATAGTAATGTAATCAAGGGATGACTAATTCAATTGAATTATTTAAAGTGTTTCAAGGGACTTGAGCTCTTAACTCAAATGTTTTGAAAATGCAAGCACTGTAGTAATCTATACTGATCATTTGTAAGATCAAGTATAAATTCCTATTGTGCCAACTAAATATTACAAAAAGCATCTGAAGCATTAGGTTATGGACTCTCTTCAAGGTAATTAAGCAAGTGCAATCAGTGGGACTAATGTGCCTAAAATTAGCATGTGCTTAAGTACTATTACAAATTCACTTTTCATTTTAAAAAAATGCTGTCTGAAACAGACTACTGGCAGATTAGTTTAGTCAACAACCCTGGGCACCTTTTTCCCACTTAGTCTTTCACTGGAAATAGTGTAAATTGGTAACAAATGAGAATGGAAAGCATTGCTGGATGCTTTTAACCCCTGCCCTTAGTTGGGGTAGCCAGTGGAATTGAGTTGCCTGCCAGCAGGCCCTAATGTGTTACTCAGTTGTAGAATCATGCTTCAGAGCTTTTGTTTAAAAAGTTCCAACTCTCATGATTGGGTAACAAAACGCAGCTTCCGTGTAAACCAGTGTAGCATCAGTGTAGCTAGCTCTAATCAAACTACGTGAGACCCCAAAAATCTGATACTAAAACCAAAAATATGGGGACCATGTAAATGAACTTAATACCAGGTGCTATATTAGTGATAGTCACATTTAATTATCACTAAAGCTGCTGACAAATTTAGGTTGAGCTTCTGCAGAGTACAGGACTTGTGCATCAGATTGGAAATTTATCCCAAAAGTCTCATTAAGACGAGCAGTTACAGGGCAAACCATTATTATTTTTTTCCCCTACAGGGAATAGTTCTGAGATGCTATAGCTTCTCTTGTGTGATATACACATTCACTATAAAACCCTAGACTGCTAGTGGAGGGAATGGTGGCACCTTAGTGGTAATGAAACTTTGTTTCAATAGTAGAGTTAGAGGGAGGTTCTTATTTTGAGTGGGTTTACAAAAACTACAGCAGTGCAAATACTTAAATCATGACATTTTACACCCCCTTCCCACTGCAGGTGGCCATAATATTAGAACTGTAATTTAACTAGTACCTTTCCTTTAGCAAGGTACAAGAGCAGTTCTTCACATGTGTGTACAGAGGAATTTCCAGGTAACCTTGCAAGTTTTGAAATAACAGATTAGATTACATAATTTGTCAATTCAGTAGTTTGTTTAAAAACAGACTACACCAGTTCCATTACTTCTCGCCCCACACCCAACAGAGCCTCTAAAACTTTTTTTTTCCCTTTGCAGTAAATTCACTTAACAATTGGATTCTTCCTTAATGAGCTCATTACTGCTTAATTTTAATTGGAAGACAATCCTGTTCAATAGTTTCCTAATTCCACTAACAGTATGAAAAGTTAAAAGGCAAGAACAGATTAATGTAAGCAAGGTTTTAAAACCTGGAATTAGCCTGTAGTAAGAATGCGATTGGCAGTACTAGTTTTTGGTTTTATTTAGTGTTCAACATCTTTCCTTCAATAGCAATTGCTCCAAATGAAACTGGATATTCCAAAGAACATTAGAGATTAAAATCAACATTGGTAGGATAATTCATAACTCAAGGTATCCCACTGTTTCAATTATCTAGTTTTCATGTAGATTTTTTTAAAAAAGTTATTCAATGCATCTTCTCATTGCACAGCAATAATGGTATCACTTTGTTGCTAATGAACTGGAAGAACTCTGCAAGAAAGCTCATACACTAGCATTGCCACCAATATTCTTTTACATTTTCTTGATACTGAGTGGGCTACCAAATCCACTGAACACTACATTTTTGTCCTTGAGCAAGATTACACTTGCCCAAGGACAAAACTGAGGGTGGGATGTGCCAGCTAGGAGTCTCTGCAAGGGTTCTGTGTGCATCAAACAAACTCCTCCAGACGAGTGGTTTCCAACCCCCTCTGCCAGGAGCAACTTCCAAACCAACTGCTGGGCAGGTGTGATGCTTTGGCCCCTTCAGACTGCAACTCCAGAGCCTCCCTGAACTGGGCAGATACTGCAGAGCTGTTGCTAAAAGAGCTGTCCCACCACCTCCTCCCAGCCAGGTGTGGCCCCAAGAGGAGGAGGAGAAGGGCTTTCATGCCATGGGAGAGTGTCTCGCAGCACTAAGCAGAGTACAGCAGGTTCTTAAAGGACCAGACCACAGCCTCGCTGGGGCAACAAAGAGGAGACAGAGGCACGGTTTCTGACTTGCGCAGCCATATGTGTGCAGTTAATAGTGGCAATCAGTGTCTCTTGTAAAGTATACATTCTTAGTTAGGAGGAATGGATAATCATGTACATACATAAACCCATTTAATTAACACTAATTTTCTTTTGGCTGTTATCTAGACTCACCAACGCCTATGACTTGTTAGCAAACTGTATTTAAAAAAATCTCATCTTACTTTCCATTTCCAATGCATAAAGCTAAAACTCCAGTAGAACTAGACAAAGGTAGTGTACTGAGAAATAGAGCCAGTGCCAAAAATTCACAGGGTGAGGAAGTCAATAGGTGACAAAATGAAACTTTACAACATTATCCAGTGATCTGTGAAATACAGTAAGTTGGATCCTTAGACATACTAAGTTACCTTGAAGACAGTCATCATGGTTCTAATGCTGTAGAATATTTTGTAAGCCTCTTTTTCAGACAGTTTGGACTTTCATTTAGATAAAGCATCTTTAGATCAAATGTCAATAAGCCAATGCTACACAGTTGCTGGTTCAATAAGTTTATTGTACTCATCAAAGTCTTCATAGAAAATTGTGGAAGATATCTTAGCTATCAGCTGTACGTTCCTGGGCCCGAAGGAAGCTAGCCTTCTTCTGAGCAACACGATCTTTCTTCTGGGCAAGGGACAACTTAGGACGGTTCCATCTGCAATGCAAACACGATATAAATACACATGGCAGTAATAGTAAATCTAAGTGCCAGAACACCAGAACTTACATGACCATAAGGAATGAGTGTGAGATTTATATTATTATGCCTAGGAAATAGTGTTTCAGAGAGTACTTTCTATAGCACTCTTTCAGTGGTTGAGGCAATGGATTAGTTGGTATATCACAACAAGGTTTGGTCACATTATGGAAGTGCACCATGTTTTTCACTATAGTATCCAGTTTACAACCAAGGGAAATAATTCTAAGGTGTGTGGCGGCAGCACTGTCCAACAGGTGACTAGCCTAGATGGACCACCAGTCTGATGCAGTATACCAGTTATGTTCCTAGATCAGCGGTTCTCAAACTGTGGGTCAGGATCCCTAATGGGGTCACCAGGGCCAGCCTTAGACTTGCTGGGACCCAGGGCTGAAGCTGAAGTCTGAGCTCCACCCCCACCCAGGGCAATGGGGCTTGGGCAGTGGCCACCTCTTCCCCCCACCCAGGGTGGCAGGGCTCATGCTCCAGCCCCCACTCCCCCCACTCAGGGCAGCAGGGCTCAGGCTCCAGCCCTCCCCCAGGGTCATGTAGTAACTTTGTTGTCAGAAGGTGGTCACGGTGCAAAGAAGTTTGAGAACCCCTGTCCTAGATCATTTCTGAAACATCCAGTTAGTTTTAACACTAAACAGGGACTGGAGGAATTAATTAACATTAATGCCACAGCTCCAGAAATTTGCTTTGTAACAGGCATATCTAACTCAAAGAAGGAAAAAATTTTACCTCTTCTTTTTGACTTCTCTCTTGGGTTTCTTTTCATGGACTGGATTCTCCCGTATACCAGCATGGGCTTTTTTATACATTTCCTCCATCTGCAAGAAATACAATGTAGTCCATAGTCATGAATGTTAGAACTTCACTCAATGCATACAAGTTGGGAGCTATCCCACTGCCAAGAACATATCAGTGAGTAGAGAAGGAATACTGACTGACATCAAATGTGATCTCTCAACATCTGTAACAGTCCTACAGAGAGGGCTAAACCAGACTGGGAACAGAACACAGCCTCCTAAGGTGCTAAGTCTTCTTCCCAGAAAGAGTAACTTAGAAGTAACTTAAGACAGAGCAAGGCTATGTCTACACTGCGTACCTTACAGCAGCACAGCAATGTTGTAAGGTGCGCTGTGTGATCGCTCTTTGTTCTCCCCTGACAAATAAAAACCACATCTAACAAGGGGCAGCAGCTTCGTCGCCGGAATGTGGCTCCCACTGACGAAGTGCTGCCCACCCCGGCACTTTTCGTTGCTAAAACTTGTCATTCGGGAGTCATTTTTCACATCCCTGAGCAACAAAAGTGCCAATGTAGACAAAGCCTAAGATTCAGTTCAAAGGAGTGCCTTAGAAAGACAATAAGCCTGCAACACCCACAGGAATTGTGCACAGACATGCACTACAGATTTCACACTAGAAACTTTCTTCTGCAACCTATCTTAAGTTCTAGAAATGCTGCTGACATCAAATGCCACCCTTTAACCAGAAGTGCACTCTTGTGCGCTGGAGATAGGACTTTACCACAAAAAAAGTCATCCTTCAGCTAAGAGCATGGTTAGCTTTGGAATCCCAAGAAACCTTCTCTTTACAGGGAAGAGTCTCATTGGTCTCTATCTATGGTGCTTAGATGGTCCCACCAGTTACTATAGCATAGTATGAGCACCTCACAAGCTCACAAAACCTGTGGCAGGCAGCGAATAGAGGCAAAGAGAGACTAAGTTAGTTGGCCAAGGTCACAAGAAGTCTATAGCGGAACAGAGATTTGCACCAGAGTTTCATGAA